GAGCTTCTCATCCCATCTCTAAAGGAGAGCCCAGACACCCTGCGGAGGAAACTCTTTTCGACTGCTTATATCTGCAGTCTTGTTCTTTCGGTCGCTACCCAAAGCTTGTGACCATAGATGAGGGTAGGAACGAAGACCGACCGGTAAATCAAGAGCTTCGCATTTTGGCTCAGCTCCCGCTTCACCACGACGGACTGGTACAACGCTCGCATCACTGCAAACACAGCACCAATCCACCTGTCGACCTCCCGCTCCATTCTTCCCTCATTCGTGAACAAGACCCCGAGATACTTAAACTCCTCCACTTGGGGCAGGACCTCCTCCCCAGCCCAGAGAAGGCACCCTACCCTTTTCCGGCTCAAGACCATGGTCTCAGATTTGGAGGCACTGATCCTCATCCCGCCCGCTTCACACTCAGCTGCGAACCGCTCCAGTGAGAGCTGGAGATCAGGATCTGATGAAGCCAGTAGGACCACATCATCCACAAAAAGCAGAGATGTTATCCTAAGGCCACCAAAAATGATCCCCTCAACACCTCAGCTGCGCCTAGAAACTCTGTCCATAAGTTTTGAACAGAATTGGTGACAAAGTGCAACCCTGGAGGAGTCCAACTCTCACCAGAAAYGAGTCCGACTTACTACTGGCAATGCAGACCAAGCTCTGGCACCCGTCGTACAGTGACCTAACAGCCCGTATCAACGGGCCAAATTATTCCACAAACCATGTTTAGATTTTCAATTTGGGCAAAAGGTTAAAGCAGCCTTGATACATGTATATAAACTGAAACAGCTGGACTAGTGCATCCTAAATTTAACAAATTATTTTAATACAACAGTCATTTCTGCAGTTTTTGGGGAGGTCACCTCCTAATAAATGCCATTACAGAAAATCTAACTGTTCATTTTAAATCAATACTTTTACTTTTAATACTTAAGTACAAAAATATCAGATACTTGAGGACTTTCACTCGAGTAATATTCCTAAAGGAGACTAACTTTTACCAAAGTTTTTGGTAAGATACTTGTACTTTTACTCAAGTATCACTTTGTGGTACTTTATACAACACTGTTCACTATTTTACAAAAGAGTGAACACACACAAGCTACCTACCTCAGTATGAAATCACTAAAGAACTTGTTTGACATTTCTTCAGAAAAATCTTCTGTCTGCAGGCCTCAAACATCTGTTTTTTTTTTTTTCTTTTAACCACCGTGGATGTATGAGGTCCAAGACAGAGGAGACTGATGAYCAATAGTGGGTGTTTCTTATAAATAAGCAAATAGATTTTATTTTTATTTTCTTAATTTCATGTTACTGTATGTGATCGATCTTTTTTTTTACGTATTTTTGGTTTACTTTTACAGTATTGTCTGCAATATTTACAGCTTTTCATATTTTTGCCACAGTTTGAAAAATGTCATGGAATCAATAAAAAWGTATTTCTGCTTCACGATTCTAACTCTTTGCAAGAAGGAACATTTGACCCAGCCTGAGTAGAAAGAGAACAAATGGCATGGAAGAGATATAACAAGACAAGCAATGGTGCACYGTGTTGTATTCTGGTGTCCGTTATGTACTGACTGATTGGATCAGGGAGAAAAATGTCAGACACTGGTTTCAAGTTGAGTTGTTTGAAGGCAGCATTTTTTTTTGTTTCATATTTTAAATGTTTTGGCTGTTCGAGCCGTTTGCAAACAAAATGCATCACTTTGGCCATCGTGTCACAAGCTGCGTTTCCATTGACCATGAAAATGCGCAAATTAGCATTTCGAAAATGAATTGGCTCAATGAAAACACGTCAATTTTGAAAAAAATTATGTTTTTCGACAAAATGTTTTTGCGCTAGGACAAGGTGGTTTTTCGGCCATATGGAAATTGGTGTTTTTCGCAAAACTGCAATGGAAACACGTTTTTCGCATCACAGGAGTCACGTGATCAACAACCGGCCGTTTCTACTGGTGAAAAAGACGACGAAGAAGATAACAGGAAGTAGAAGTAGTAGTAATATCACAGAAGTAGTATAAAATAGTAAACTCACCGACTACAATCTCCCAAAAACACAGCATACGTAGCCGCTCCCAAGTAGGGACTTGTCTCTGGAAAGCCTCGATAAAAGACGCCGACGTCTCCTCTGATGATGAGCGCTAGTGTCGTGGTAGCAACATGCTATGTGTTTACATCCATCGCCGCCATGTTTGTAATGACTTATCATGAGAACAAACRTATTCACGHGTGACTTTAATAGCATTTCTTACTTAATGGAAGCACTGCAGTTGCGAAACTGTTTTTCGACATTAACAGAATATCGACAAAGTTTTGCGCACATTTGCAATGGAAACACAGCTAATGTTGAGTCTTGTGTTCACTGGTTTGAAATGGTGAGTTTGAGTGGACTACTGTGTCAAACAAGTTTACAGACATTTTCTGGTTCTTGAGACAAAATGACAACAATGTAAGTTTTTTTCCATGAGTCAAACTTTGTGCACAGGTTGAACTGGTGCACCAATCTAGTTTAACTGGAGGACCACAACACATCTAATTAGTGGAGCACRTTACATAAACCTGAATGGTCACTGGCACCCAAATGTTTCACAGCTTCTTATCCAGCACAAGATTTTATTTCTATTTTAAAAGTCATAAATCAGTCATGTTTTAGTCGAACATTAGCTACATATTAATCATGTAAATAACTAACAAGGACAGAGATGAAGGTAAATATTTGTTTTTAATTGTAGCACAAACAGAAACAAATCACAAATCTTCATTGTTTTATAACTTATAAAGTGTCTGACAGACAAAACAATAAAAAGCACCAGTGACACAAATGTGTTTGCTTTTCCCAGATACCCCCCCCCCCCCACACACACACACACACACACACACACTAACCCCCCTGGTCCAAGTCAGGTTTTCAATAACTACAAGATCATTTTACAACAATAACTGATTGGCCATCTTTTTACATCAACTCAGTTTTTTTAATTTTTTAACATCCTAAACATCTGTTTGTTTATGATGCTACAAATGTTTTGATTTGTTTGTTTTGAATCTTATAGTTGGTATCCTGCTCCTTGTGTCTGTGTTTACATGGAAAACAAAATATTCCTCTTTGTGAAGGCTGCGCGGTTTATGCGGTAGACGGTAGAAACGGTATGAAGTTGGCCTACGGTAGAAATTTATCGTCATATTGTCATTACGTCATCACACCTGTGTGAACAGGGCTGCGAGTGCGGAGACAACTGAYGAGGAGCTCGAAATAAAAYGAAGAAATTATAGCGTTTTAAAACGCATAAAGAGAATAAATCCTCAAAATTCCCCCCTCCCGCTGTAGAAAAGTTRCGTCGGAATCATTTCTTTCCTCCCTCCCTCCACATCGCGCAGAGCAAAGCTTTAAAAACAACAGTTTTTTCACACCCAAGTTGTCGGAGAAAAAAACTTGTTTTTATGTATTGTTACMCACAGAGATGATAAAAAAAGACGTGGACGTTCGTTCAGTCATAAATCCATCCTGCTAATGTAAAGTCGGCTTCTGCTCTGATGATGAAGATGAGCGCAGCAGCAGCTGATAAGTTCAGCAGGCAGAAGCTCATTGTTTGGCAGGCTGATATTAAAGCAAAAAATGTTGGGTTTAATTAAAATTACAGTTTTCTGTAAAAAAAGCTCTAAAAATTACATTATCTTTACTTTTTATGATAGATTTCTACCGCGATATATACCGTTACTGTGAAGGGATTCAATTTATACCGTGATATGAATTTGAGCTCATACCGCCCAGCCCTAGGTTCAATAAAAAAATGTGTAAAACTCAAATATTAAAAATGATTATAAAGATAAAATAAAAACTGAAAACCAATTTAAAAAACATTTTGAAGTGTTTATCATTAATGTCAAACATCACACCTGATTCAACATTTATTAATCATTAAAAGAGATTTAATACGAGCGTAAATAGGACTTATGTTGTCTAAAAGGGGAGGAGTCATGGGAAGGTTTGAGCTGGAAGAATGAAGTGGGCGGAGCTTAAGACTGCCAGCTGATCTTTAGAACTGTAATAATGTAATGACCTGTTTTTAAAAGCTCAGGTACTTTTTATCCTTCTTATATTGCTTTTATCCTTCAGTGGGGTCTGGGTGGGTCCACAGTTGTGCCACAGAAAAGTGTCACAATAATAAAAACAACAACAGCAACAATTACATGTCTTATAAGGTGCTGAATACTCATGAGTCGTTTGTTTTTTTTGGACAAACAGGAAGTCTTTGAAGACTGGAGTGATCAGCTGAACCGGTGCTGTGGTCCACACATTCAGTGTTTTACAACTCATCACCTTTTTAAACACACACACGCACACTCACACACTCACAAAAGCCAAAAAAATCAAACACCGTTTGCATCAGCAGCTGTTAGTGTTTGTGGTGAATGAAGGAGGAAACAGAACCTGTGGACAAACTGAGAGCTTCAGACCAAACATCAAGGCAACTTGGGCTCAACTGCAGTGATGAGGATGATGATGATGATAAGGCACCCTGTAGGAGAACTGCTCCTTTCACTGACGAGCAGACATCAGCACGGTGTTAATACTTGTGTTGTGCTCATGCCCTCACTAAAACTGACTACATGGATGCTTCGTAGGAGGCGGGAGTATAAAGTGCGGTCTCAGGAGGCCGCACACGGAACATCTCCCAACAAATACATGGTGGTGCAGAATCTAATCTACCCGCTCCCTCCAACTCCTGCCTCAGTTCTTCTAATACAGCTCCACAGCAGCAAAACCACTCATCGAACCTAAACAGAGGACCAGGAGGTCCACAGCAGGGCAGGTGTTGAACTTCATCAACACATCCTGTCAGYGTCAGGAGAGTCTGCCACCTAGTGGCTGATTCATAAACATGTTCTGCTGTTTGGACAAGAAATAAAGAGTATCTTCCATCTATCAGTCTCATTTGTGTTCATTTAGATTATTTTTAAAAAGAACTATARTATTTTATAGTCACTGAACTGCTTCAGGAAAATAAACTAAAAATCTAAAAAGTAAAATTTCTCGTGTTTTACAGGTTGTAAAACCTGAGAACTTTGGCAATAAAATACAATAAAATGTGACTTCAGAGGTCAGTATTCCAGCTGTGTCATGTTGACATGTGTGAAGGTTAATAATATCACTGCAGTAGTCAGTAGTAAAACATGGAACGGACACTGAGGGGACTCATACACACTAATACACCCCCCAGTACTGGGCTGCAACTGCTCGACACCACTTTACACACAAATGTCTTCAAATGCTTCAAAATGTCCTCTTCTGTCAAAAAGACGGGCAGACTTTTAGTTTGAATTTTGAACAAGTTGAAAAGAAGCCGTCAGAAGGATGGCAGCCATCACACACCTGTTAGAAGAGCTGTACCTGAGACGTGATCTGCTCYGAAGACAACATGTCCACGTCCAAAAACCACAACACTGATAAATAACAAGCATCTAAAACTGCCTGGTTCTCTTTCTAAAATCAACTCCAKTACATTCAACCAGCATGGTGGGGGGCGGCTGCACGACTGCCTGATTCTGTGCAATAATAAAAACCCAGTGTCCACAAAGTGTCCCTCTGCGTCCACTTCCCAGGGATTATGGGGACAGTCTTAATGACAAAGTAGGCCATGTTAGGCACAGGAGACTGGATACTTTTGTCCTCTTTAGGAGGCCAAATTCAGATATTTACAAAACTTTTACTTTTCACTTTCACCCCAACTGGACTGAACCATCTYTTACAAAGTAACCTTTTACTTTGTAAATGTAAGAATTACAATTAGAACTAGTAAACACTGTGGGAAACAAAACCATGCACATGTGGCTAAGTGCAGCTGAACAGCTGGAACATGACCTGAACTCAATCAGACTTTAATGGAATCATCCTTCTTCATAGATTAACATAAAAGAAACAGTTTAAGTTAAAATGATTGCACTAATTCTTTTTTCCAAACTTCAATCAGTGAAACATTCATTCACATTCAATGATCTCCAGTGTGTGGGACTAYTGTGCTTCATTCATTCATGGAATTAAAATGGATTAGTAAATGAAATGTTAATGCTACAATAGACAGAGAAAAACTAGTCAAATAAATTAAAATAATAATAAAAAACTCTTATTTTCTATAACTTGACTCAGTGTTATACCATACGTAGTCATTCGACACAGCAGACAACCAAAGGTTCCTAAGGCGGTGCCCTGAGGTTCACCTGCTCGTCTCAGTGCTGCTCTGCTGCTGCTGCTGGCACGCACCAGCAGTTATTGTGCCAACAGGGTCTGAATTTGGCAGTCACCATCTTTTAGCTGGTCTCCAACCCATCTTTCAGCTCATCCTCTGTGGTTCGACGTGTAACGTGGGCCAAACTCCACACAGAAACTGAAAGAGAATTGACATCCAGCAGTGGGTTATGGTTGTTTTGTATTACACACTCCGAATGTACCAATAATTCAAACAGGTCTAATAACAGTTACAATACGTACCCTAACTTTTGGTCTGTACTTGAGGTAGGTTGATCTGATCTGCAAGCTGTAAGAATAAATGTATTTACTTTAGTTGTAAATTAACAGACATCTGTGATCTCCTGAGACCATAAGTCCATTACCTGAGAAGTATGTGCAGGTAGGATCCAAGACCTGTGAAGATATGCCACCAGGCGTGGAACTGTGTTACTACTCCAACACCAGAGGGCAGCACTTTCCTGCTGGATCTGAGATTACAACAAACAAGTTCAGGAAAAAAAAACATTTCACAAAATATTCTAATACAAATAATAATAAATGGTTGCATTAATGAAGAATTATTCTGCCATGGAAACATGTTTTGGTTATTTTTAAACATAAGTATGTACAAAATAGTATGA